GCAGTACTGAGTAGATACAGCAGGGGCCAGTATTGGACCAATACAAGGCTCCATTAATTCCCATTATAAATTATTAAACATTAAAATTTCAAAAACTATATGTTGTATAGGTACCAAAAGGCATAGCCATCATTTGGCACAGGAGCTTTACAGATATAAATTACAATGGCAGCTCTAGGACAAAGTATGCAGGAGGAGAAGCATGGCAAAGTGGAGATGACTTGGATGGGAAACAAATCACAATAGTGTGCATTGCATTGGCAATGCACACTGATAATAATAATAAGGGGCATTTGCTCCATGCAAGGCAGAGTTTATTGTTCAACAGCATTGAAGTAATGCAGCATACAAAACTCTGTGCTGAAGTTGAGCAACAGCTGTCTGCAACACAAACAGGAGCATGTGATCTGTGCTTAGTAGGGTCATAGGTCAGGCAGGAACTGGGATGATGACATCACTGTTTTCCAAAGGCTGTAASGGTTTAAAAACAGAAATCAATAGGAATAAAAAAATAATAAATAGATAGGAAAACTTCCAACCCCACACAAGAGGTCCAGTATGAAAGCTTACAAATTATACAGTTTTTATTCACATAAATAGAACGTAAGATTTATATCACAAAAACATACATCATACATATGTCACAATACAAATGTCAGCATATTGCATGAATTGAAAACACTAGTGTTTACTCAGTCTTGCTTAAGTGAATAAAAATAAAGGTAAAAATAGGGTTACAATGTGAGAACAACTCAAAATAAAGAATGTGTCAACAACTCTGAGACGTCACAATCAACAGACTTTGGTGTTTTTTTTTTTTTTTAAAAAGGTGAGTTTCTGTCTCTTTTTTCATTAAAGCTGTGAGTTTTTGTCCGTGCACACTCGGGGTCACGTAGCTGCTTGACGTTCGTTTTCACACACACACCTTTCAGGGTCCATGAGACACACGAATGGATCAGCTCAGCTTGGAAGTGAGAAAGGGTGGCTTTGAGGGAAAATAGGCTAATCCAGGTCCTGGGGCCTCAKCCCTGCGTGGTTTACATTTTCCTCTGCTCCAACACAGCTCATTCAGTCAGAAGCCTGATAATCACCCATTCATTCAAATCGGCTGTGTTTTTGCACAGAAAATGCTCTCGTTGTGCACATGATTAAACGTGCACAAATTAAGAACGATAATTAACAGTAAAAGTTACGGCATTAATGCTCTAAAGCTGTGAGTAGCCGACATCTTGGATTATAAACTGGAGGTAGTCTCAGTCACAGCCACCATACAAATGAGATTTACCACCGAGGAGGTGTTCCAGTTTAAATTTATGAACGGTAGTGTTGTAGTCAAGACCACCTAACCCGAGTCCAAGTCAAGACCACAGTGTATCGAGACTGACACAAGACCAAGACTTTTAGGGTTTGGACCAAGTCGAGACCAAGACAGAGGGAGAGTAAGACCGAGTCCTAACCAAGACCAGAAAAAAACTAGTTTCTTAAAGGAAAGAGTATCTGCAAACATGTAGCTAACTAAATCAATGCATTCTCACTCCTGCCGCGTCAACATATTGACGCTTGGTCAGGTAGCCGTCTGCGTCCAGGTTCGGACGTGTCGAGAAGCCCCCCGCAAGTCCGTTCTTTATGAGATGAGGCGGAGGAGGATGAGCACGTTGTCATATTCATTTTACAAGAGTAGGAAATGTGTGAAACTCCACATCCCAGACCCAAAAATTAACTTCTATTAGCCCCACAGCCTATCCCAGTACCTAAAATTAACCATTAACCCTGATCCCTCATATTAACCATTTTTGAAAATGTAGAGAATGCGCAAGAACTAACCATCCCAGACCCTAAATTTAACCTATATTAGCTTTAGACATCCTATCCCTGACCCCAGTACCTAAAATTAACCATTAATCCTCATCCCTCATGTTAACCTCAGACCCCCAACCCAAAGACCCCTAAGTGACGCAACTCGGAAAAACCACGGACGGCAAGGACAGACGCGCGGGGGGTACCCCACGCGTCAAAACTGGATGCAGACGGTCCCTGACCAAGCGTCGATATGTTGACGAATCGGGAGTGAGAACGTAACTTAATATATGGAGCTAGTACTGGAAAAATCTCTGTTTATTGCAGAGTAAAGACTTTTGCTATGGGGCATATTGCTAACGTTGGCTAACGTTAGTGATGACAAAAGTTTAACGTTATCCCTACTGTCTCTGAAAGTGAAGCAGTGCAGAATTTACACGTCGCTGTACGCTTTTACAAATATATTCTTTATGATTTACGTAGCTGAGTTGTGTTGCTGAAGATTTAGCAGACATCTTCTACCGTTCCCAGAGAACCACTGCTCACTTTCTTAGAGTGCCGTGTGAGTGAAGCGGGGTGGGGATGGGTGACAGCCGGWARCAAAAATACATCGTTAGCAATGAGTCACTTGAATTTGAATTGGTATGTCTCAGATTGAATGAAAGCAAAGGTGTTAAAAATTAATTGGCTATTTGTCCTGATGCATCTCAGTAATCCAGGTAAAAATCCAGKTTTTTTTTAATTGGCTATTATTGATATTTCTACAGTTGTGGTCTTTACTGGTCTTGAAATAAAATCCTAAGTCCTCAATGTATGAGACTAAGACAAGACYGAGTACAAATGTGGTTGAGTTCATGACAAGACCATCAAAAAGTGGTCTTAAGACTGGTCTCAAGTACTGCAATACTGATGAATGGGAACAAGGACATTTCTTCTTCCCAGTGCTACTGGAACGCACCACAATACAGAGTCTGTGYCTGTTGTTCWTCTGACCTTTTAGCACCTTTTCTGGTATACCTTCTTTGTCAGGACCTGCAGGTCTTTTGTGTAAAGCCCAGTCCTGGTACAGTGGAACACCATCGGTCTGGGGTTAGTAATGGTTTGGTTCAGGGTGGCTACAAACATGAATGGAAGTCAATACACAGTCCTAATAAGGTTATACAAACTTGTGTGTGWGAGAGAGGCTACAGAGGTGTCTAAAATCCCACCTGTAAGCCATTAGCATAACAAGGTGCAATAAGATTAACACTGCTCCCCTCCCAGAACACGCAGGACTGATCATCTCTCTGCAAACAAACAAGTTTTTACTGAATCAGGTCAGTAAAAATGTGGAGGCAGCTTCAGCTTTATCTGTGGAGTTTGAGCTGTTTCACACACACACACACACACACACACACACACACACACACACACACACACACA